ATAGGATCACAAGTCCGCATCTTGTACAGCAATTAACCACTAAGAAGAATATATGCAGTGTATTATTTGTTGAAACTGTACTTCCGATTTGAATTGAAACTGTCTCATTGCTGTTTATCAATAAAACTTTGAAAAAAATTAAAAAAATAAATTAAAAAAAATGTGTGTCCTTTCTCTCTGTTTTCACCCAAGAACAGGAAGCCAGCCTATGTTATGCTTTTGCTCAAATGCCTTCTGAGAGGTGTAAAAACCTTCCCCATTGCTTCTGGACTAAAATCTGGACCCCTGAGCACACCGTGGGGGCTCTTTTTTTTTTTTTTTCCTTTCCCTCCCCTCTGACATCCTCTTCCCAGATGTTTCTCCAGTGTCCTGGGCACACTCCCAGTTGCTCTTCCCTCTCCAGCAGCCCCTTCCCTAGATGTTAGCCCTGCTCACCCTCGGCCACCATACAGCTCTGTCTTCAAACATCACCTCCCCACAGGGCCTCCTGATCCCTTGATACACTTGTTTATTGATTTTAGGGCAGTGCTGGGTCTGGAAGCCAGGCGAGCGCTCTGCCACTGAGCTACCTCTCAATCCTTTTTGGTTGTTTATTTTAGCTTTGCTAGAAAATAAATTTTCCTTTGCAAATTGAAGATGTACAGTATGTCACATATATATGTAGAACCATAATAAAATGGCTAAGGTAGTAGAACAAATGAAGGTATCCATCATCTCCCTTAGCTACCCATTTTTGTTGTTGATTGTGTGATCAGGGCAGCTATAATTTATTCAGACAGCAAAACTCTTGCATGCAACACAGCATCATAAACCACAGTCTTGGTGTTGTCTGTTAGACCTTCCACTTCCTCATTCTGTCTATTTCCTACACTCAGATTAACACAGCTCCTCCTCCACCTCCTCTACCTGGGTTCCTTTTTCTCTAATTCATTTTTCTTCATAGCTCTTATCACTAATCACAAAAATATTTCTTATATTTGGTTATTGGCGCAGAGTTTGAGTCTCCCTAACAAAATACAAGCCCCTTGCAGACTCTTTGTTTTCTGCCTGACTTCCAACACCTAGCAAGTGTCCGGGTGCTATGCGCTCGTGTCTCCATCAACACTCTATGCACTGAGCTCAGCCAGTCTGGTGTTCTCTCTGGACCCGCCTTTTGCTCCAGCATCTCTCTAAGGGAGAAGCAGTGCAGTTTATGGGAAATACTTTTAAAAGAAACAGAAAGAAACTGGTGTGTTCAGCGGGTGCTAGCCTCTCGTCGCTGCCACTTCAAAGCAGGTGGAAAGGAGAGTTCTTGTTCCTGGAAAGAATGGCGAAGTTTCCTTAGCATCCCCTGGGCCCTGGAGGCTTCTGGTCCCCGCTAAGGCACAGAGCTGCAGGCCTGAGTGAGTTTCTTCTCTCCTTGGTCTGGGCCACTTGTTCTGTGACCAGGAGGAGCAGATGAGGCCCTAGAAGGCTGTGGGGTAGGGGGGCAAGGGCGCCCTGTGCTCGCCTCCTCCTCAGGGCAGAACCTTCCTGCCTCTCTTACCCACACCCCTCTAGAATTCCATCTGCAGAGTCCGAACTCCCCGTGGAAATCCCCTTCTCTTTCTCTCCCACCCAGACAACCCTGGTTCTCTCAGCTGGGCCACTCCAGACCCTCAATGAGCTTGATGTCTGTAGCCTGGACTCCTCGTCCAGGCTCAGCCCCGTCCACTGGGCCTGGGCCAATCTGAGAATCAAAGCTATTTGGATGCCTGGAGAAACGGGCCCAGGGAGGGGCCGTGTGTCTGCAGGCAGATCTGAGGCAGGCGGAGAGGGACAGTGGATGTGGCTGCTGGCATTCCGTGCCGCATCACAGCGGTGGCCCTTCTGCCCTTATCTGGTGCAGACACTGGGGCCTGGGTTGCAGCCACCCCAGGGGTAGCCAAAGCCAGGGACTGACCGAGAAGGGTGGAGCACATATTGGAATGCACAGCCCCTTGTGTCAAGTAGGACAGCCCCATGATGCTGCCCCGTGCTGGGGGTTCCCTGATGCTCAGGCTGGGGCCACATGCTCACCTGCTACCCTTCGAGCACCCTAACTCTGTCACTAGCACAGGAATTGCCACCTCCAGTTCTGCTTCTAGGGACCCTGCCCTTGAGTGACAGAAGACCCCTGGAGAGTGTGGGCCACCATTCTCCACTTCCTCACCAACAGAGCCCGAGCAGAGGTGTTTGTCCTCCTAGCGGTCTGCAGGAGCAGTCTCAGAGAGGGGAAGCCCCATGGCGAGCCTAGGGCTCTGCAGATCCCACACTCTGCATTCCTGCCTCAGCCTCAGAATGAGCAGTGATTCGCCCACCCTGAGCCCTGTCTTGTGGCCCTGAAAGGTCACACACCTTGGCTTGTGCAGGGACAAACATAACGGCCCTTCTGGGAAACCAGAGGCCTCAGCTGCTCTTCTTCATCAGGGCGGTCCCTGCATGCACACTAAGAAACAATTTCCTTTTGGTACCAAATGTAATGACAATAGAAAGTTTGCTACCAAGGCTCCCTGTGTGCCCAGCACTTTGCATATTTTGTCCCACTAGGTGCTCCCAGGAGCCTCGTGAGGGGAGTCCTCATCTCATCCCAGCTGCCAGGTGGGACCACTGGGTCACAGAGTGGTTCAGTGGGCTGCCCAGGTTCCTGCCTCGAGTCTCCAGTTAAGCAACCTCAGCCCCTGAAACCAGTGCCAGTTAGCTGGATGCTGGAACATCTGTATGGGTCAGAGCTGCGCAGCTGGAAGTAATGACACTCTCAATCCATGACCGACGTGGACTGTTTACCAAGGTAAGTTGTCAGTGGGAAAGATCAGCAGGGAGGACCAAGTCCCAAAGGCCAGGGAGTGCTCTCCAGAGACCCAGCTCAGGGAGTGCAGTGGGCTGGGGACAGACCTGCTGACCCTAAGTCTCCCTATGTCCTGACTGCCATGGTGAACCTGTCCTCACCCCGAGCACCCCGGATTCTGGGCCGTCCTCCACGCCTGCTCTGTGCTTCCCTCTGTCCCAGCCCCCTCTTGCATCACTTGCTGAGGACCAGCGGTTCCAACCCCTGGGACAATCTTAATCTTCCTCTAGCTGGTGTTGAATGGATAAAACAGCTCAAAGCCCACTGAGTTTAAGAGCCACGGCAGGTGTGTGAGCAACCCAGCAGTGCGGGCTGGGGTGGCAGGGGCTTTGTGTGGTACTGCAGCTGCCTGCGTAGAGGTCAGAGGCAGCCATCTGCCTCCGTGCTCCACAGCCTTGGAATTAAATCCGACGACGCTCTGCAGCGCGGCCAGCAGCTTAGATGCGGCCCAGCAGCTCCACAGATCCGTCCCATCCATGCCCGGCCTGGCTCTCCTCCCCTGGGGCCAGCTCATCACTGCTCAATTAAGGATCCAGACACACTCTCTTCTAAGGCCTGGCGGGCTGGGAACTGCGGCACATGCGAGCCTCACACTGTGGAGGGGACAGCAGATGCCACACGCAGGATTCGGATTGGAAACCTATTCTGTTTGGCCCATGCAGTATTTTTGAAAAGTAAAATTAAACCAGCATTTTAAAAAGTACAGGCTTTAATAAAACATGCAGACTACCAGCTTCTCTGGAAAAGCGGGGAGAAGCAGAAAGGGTTTCTGGACACCTGCATTTACTATGTCAGAGCGCTGTTCCTGGTGCAGGGACGAGAGCTGACAACTAGACAGAAGGCAAAAGTCACTGTCCTCAGGGAGCCTCTGTTCTCATGGGGAAGCAGACAGCGGGCAGCGAGAAATGAACTATGTCAGCTGGTGACACGTGTCCTGGAGAAAATAAAACCCAGAAAGAAGTTTGATTTTAAAAAGATCTCAAGTCAAGGGAGATGATGTTCGATTGAAGACCTAGGGGGGCAGGGGATGGGGCCACTGGTTCTCTGAAGCAAAACATTTCAATGGAGGCAAAAGAAAGAGCAAAAGTCCTGGGGTGTGCTGTCCCCCCACATACCCTGATGCTATCACACCAACCAGTCACATCTGGGTGGTGTGGGTTCCTACACACTGGTGTCTGCCTGTCTCCAAGTGGCGGAGACTGCCTCAGCTTCCCCTGAGCCTGGTTACATCAGATACGACAAGGTATTGCTCTTTGTGCTCCAAGCCCCTGCCCAAGGACAGAGCCGGCCCAAGAGCTGCTAGAGAGACACAACTGTGCTCCTGGCTTCCAAACCCAGCAACTCACTGTCACCTTCCTGGGGGCTGTGGATGCCACCTTGCCACAACAGATGGCCTACCTACCACTGGAGAGCCTCTAGACACTCCTGGGGGACAGTCCCAACTCAAAGGCAGGCAGAGAGCCACATACTCACTGCAACTTATAACCTGCACAGTCTCAGCAGGTCCGTGGCCTTGGGTTCTTGTCAGTAAAACACTGGAGGTCATCACAACTTGCCTTGGTGCAGTGGCTTCTTACGAAGTCTGTGATGCTGGGTCCCTGAGTGTGTTCCCTTGATGGCCCCATTTAACCCCCTGTGCCTGTTCTGGAAGGTATTAGTGGTACTATCACCATTTGGCAGGTGAGCAGGCTGAATTTCAGAGGTGAAATTCAGACAGACAACACCTGACACCAGCTTCTTCTACACTCAGCTCTGCTTGGCCTGGGAGCAGCATGAAGGAAGAGGGTGAAGACGCCAGGCAGGCCACCAATGTAGCATCCAGAACAAAACAGGTGCTCAGTAAACACAAGTCATCATCTGCCCCTGTCCTTTCTCTTCAGTGCAGAAGTGGCTTGTGATCCATGTGACTTGAAAGGCATAAGGTGGCTCCATCACTGTTTCGAGACAAACGATGATGTTCTAAGCTGCCCACACGGGGTTGGTTTGTTATGCAGCAAGAACTGACTGATGCAGCTGCCTGTTGTGGCTGGAAAATTACTGCCCTCAGATCTAGGTCCTGGGATTCAATTCCATCTCCCTTCTTTGCTTTGAGTAACACTGGAAATTTTTATATGCTCCCTGCAATGTGCATATAATAATTCCCACTCTTGCAGGAGCTAGAGAGCTAATCTGAAATGTAAGCATCGGCCAGGAAGGAGAACACAGACTTCAGTAACAGATGGGCAAATACAGCCACATAGACAGAGATCTAACTGACTGGTTTGTTCAGGCCTGAGTGAGTCCTTGCAGGCAATGCAAGGGCCAGACAGCTCTTGCTGCAGTTATCTGAATAGGCTCTAAGGAGTGATATTTTTTCCTCTGGGAAAAAATCCCTTTCTGGGCCGCATTCTGTGTGTCTTGGGTGGGTCCCCCTCCTGGCCAATCAGTGTAGTGCATCCCTCAGCGCACTGATTGGTTCAGGGCTGGGCACTTGACCCAGTATTGGCCAACAAAAGCTTGTCCCATGACTTTTGCACAATTCTCTAGAAAGAGGTGTTCCCTTTCCATTGGAGTGGCCAGGCTGGTAGAACAGAAACCTGCAACTGCTTCTGATCACTTTTGCCACCACGTAGGAAAATCTTACTGAAGGATAAAAAGTAGGGTTGGGAGATGGAGAAAGACTGATTTCTGATGTTGGCGTCAGAATGCTGGATACAGCCATGCCTGCATCTACCCAGGACATTTGGGCTCTCATGAGTTAATATGTCCCCCTACCCTTATGCTCTTCTCCAGCCACGTCCTGCCTCTGCAGCCCTCCTCAGCTTTTCAGTGTTTTCAGGGGGAGACCAAGCTAACCTGGGGCCAACAGGAACCCCGAAGTCACCAGTGCTGTCTGTGGCCTGGAAAACATTGGCAGACAGAGACTCTGCCTCCGCCCTTAAACCTCTCCCTCCTCCACTTCCGAGGTGTTGTTCCTCAAGCTCTTTAGAGGACAGGAAAAAATTCCAAGCCATCTGAGAGCCTGGGCCTGCTGAGAACCAGCACTCACAATTAAAATTCTGTGACAATAAACAACATTAATTAAAACCAAAACAAAGTACTTAATAAGACAAATGAGGTGGCGATATGAAAAGTCGGGATGAGAGAGCTGCCATTAATTAAAAACAAAGAATAAGTTCTTTCCTCTCCTAAAAATAGGTTGTGTGTGTGTGCATTTTCTAGAAAAGGCTTAAATTTTGCCTTAATGCACAAAATGTCAGAGCCCTTGGCTTGGGGGTTGGTTCTCCCTAGAGAATCTTCCCAGAGAAGGAAAAATTGGTGTGCTCTTTACAGAGAAGGCAAGCCCAGAAAACTGTCTCCACAGTCCCCATTCCTGTAGGGACAATCTTGAATGTGTGAGGCTGGGTCCCTCAGGGAGGGCCATGAGATCAGACAGCCCTGCTAACCTCTATGCCCAGAAGCCCTCATAATGGCCAGATCTGAAACTCTTGGAATTGTTTGTTATCATAGCAAAACCAGACGCATCCCGCCTGGGCTTGCTAGGGGCCAGAGCCAGCCCTCAGTGTCCATATGCAATGTCACCCTTGGCCATCTGTTATGGTGTGTAGCTAGTTGTCTCCCCAAAGTCTCATACAGTTATGGGGTGGATTTCTAGACTTTGTGATTAATTCTAGACTTTGTGATCCGGTGCTGGGGTTATGGGTGTGAGAGCTATACCCAGCCTCAGGCAGATACTCTGAATGCACCTTAAGGGAGACAGACTTCCTTTCTGTAGCCATTGTTGCCCCTGCTCCTTTTGCTCTTGCTGCCTTGCTGTTTTCCATCACCATGAACTGCTGCCCTCTGCCATGTGCCACTTTGCGTTGGAGCCAGCTGAGTATGGACTTAAACCTCCACTAGGGAAGAAGCGGAACGCGGCGTGGACATGGGGAAACAAAAGAAAACAAGAAAGTATGCGACCATGAAGCGAATGCTTAGTCTCAGAGATGAGAGACTCAAAGAAAAGGATAGATTAAAACCTAAAAAGAAAGAAAAGAAAGATCCTAGTGCTCTAAAGGAAAGAGAAGTCCCCCAGCATCCTTCCTGCTTATTCTTCCAGTATAATACACAGCTGGGCCCACCTTATCATATCCTGGTTGATACCAACTTCATCAACTTTTCCATCAAAGCCAAATTGGACTTGGTACAATCAATGATGGACTGTCTGTATGCCAAGTGTATCCCTTGTATAACTGATTGTGTAATGGCAGAAATTGAAAAATTGGGACAGAAGTATCGAGTGGCCCTAAGGATCGCCAAGGATCCACGGTTTGAACGCTTACCTTGCGCACATAAAGGGACCTACGCAGACGACTGCTTGGTGCAGAGAGTAACTCAGCACAAGTGTTACATTGTGGCCACAGTTGACCGAGACCTTAAACGGAGGATCCGGAAGATCCCTGGAGTTCCTATCATGTACATTTCTAATCACAGATACAACATTGAACGGATGCCAGATGATTATGGAGCCCCTCGATTCTGATTCTTATAAGACAAAGTTCCTCTGCCTCCTTCCAACCAACTTTTTGGTTTCAGTTCATTCAGCATGCTATAGCATGAATTATTCACCCACTTGCTGTATTATCAGCGAGAATGGTTAAATAAATTCTCTTTTTGATGCTTAAAAAAAAAAAAAAAAAACCTCCACTAACCGTGAGCTAAATAAACCTTTCCTTCTTTCATTTGGGGTGTCAGGTACTGTGTCCCAGCCATGAGGGAAAAGTAACTGAGACACCTTCATAACAATCCTAGAAACAGTACCCTTCACTGCTCAGTTTTAGATTGAGAAACTAAAGCCCAGAGAGGCACAATTATTTGCCTGAGGACACACAGCCAGTAATCGAGAAAAGCCCCGAACCTCTCTCTCCTCTCCTGGATTATGGAAGCTCCCTCCGAGCCCTGAGTCCACCAAGCTGACCACGGCAGGCACATTTAACACTACCATTTCGGGGTTTCCAGCACAGCGTTCCCAAGTTCTTTTTTTTCTGCATTTTTTAGGGAAAGGTCTACAGGGTGTTCAGGGTCTCACTACTAGATCAGACTCATAGTGATTCTCCTGTTTACAGCCTTCCAAGAGCTGGGATTACAGGTGCACGCCACTGTGCCCAGTCTCAATCGCTGACTCAGCGTACCCCAGGGGTAGGGCTGGCACGGCAGGCCTGGGGGTCGAACCCCTGGCCCTTGTGCCTGCTTGCAGGTGCTTTAATCCACTGAGCTATTTGGCCAGACCTCCCAGTTCTTCCCCCCACCCACCCACCCCCAAGTTCTTGATAAAGCGGAAACTTGCTCTTCTCCATTGCTGACTGTGCTTATCTCTGCTCAGGCTACAGCGTGGCAGGTAAGCAAGTGGGGAAGCTGGGATTGAGTTCTGTTCTCGGGCAAGCGCACAAGCCACCCAGACCTCAAACAGAAAAGCACGATCTGATGGGTCTGCTGCATATGGGAGCAAGCCGCTCAGCTGAATGGTCTTCTGCTGCGGTGGGTTTCATTCTGATCAGACCTCTTCTTGCACTGCTTTGGCTGCAGGCTTAAATGATACCACCTTCCTGGAGATGGCAAGTATCCTCATGGCCCCTCCAGTGCTTGGAGGGGCACATTTGTCCCCTTATACTGGCAGTATCCCTGGCTGTCATGTGGGAGGGACATTGCTCTCATACTCTCCCCCCACAGTGCTGGGGTTGATCCCGCGGCCTTCACGCTGAGCTACTTGTTACTGTTGTGCTGAGACAGGGTCTGGCTGAGTGACTAAATTGCCCCAGCTGGGCTTGGACTTGTGATCCTCCTGCCTCAGCCTCCCGAGCGTTTTCATTTTCTGGAGAAAGGAGAAAGGTTTGGTTGAGGAGACACAGGTAGATAGCAGGTGGGATTGCCAAGGACTCTGACCCGGGTCTGGTGTAAATGAGCTTCCTGACCCTACCTTGCCTCATCTTATGCCAGGGCAAATAAGAGTGATATCAGACTAAACATGCAAATTTGTTGTTTTAACAGGGAAAAGAAAGGCTACGCAGTGGTGGCACTGTGTGGCTGAGCCCAGTGCAAGTGCTGGAATGCTCCGATTTGCTGCTGCAGACCGACAGCTGGCAGCCCACTCTGCCCAGCAGGTGGACCCCAGTGGCTGTGTCCACAGCTCCCCTGTTCTGTGGCTGCTGGTGGGATTCATCCAATGGAGTACCTGGCAGAAGACTGGAGAGAGGCGGGCTCCCTCCTGCTGGGCCCTGGGGGCTGCTATGACCATTGCAATTGCCAGGGAATCTCTTCCTATGATTCTCTCTCCTGCATCCCCTCCCAGGGTATCCAGGAGTCCTAGGCATGTGGCTTCAGAGCCTGAGTTCCTGACCTGCTCCTGTGCTGCCCAGAATGTGTACACCTCACAGCCCCACCGGGGTTGACATCACAGAACCCAGGCACCCTTCTGTCCTCCTGTGGACACTTGTCATCCACTGCCTCACTCCATCCAGAGGCTTTGCAGCTGTTCCCATTTCAGAGACTCCCAGGGGTGAATTGTCTCACTCAGGGGCACCAGGCAGTATGTGAAAGGGAGTATATCTCCTCTGACACCCATGCGCCTAGCCCCTGCTCTGGGGGACCACTCGTATCTCAGCCCCTGTCCAGATCTGGCAGCCATAGGTGAATGGGATGAGCCGGAAGAAGGGTCCAGCTCCTGACATGAATGGCTTTCTGACCGTTGGAGCCATCAAAGAGAAAGCACACTACTTTAAGAGGTGATGAGCTCCTAGTCATGAGAGGTGATCAAGCAGAAGAAGCAGAGCCACTGTTACAAATAGTGCTGTGTGCTTTCCTCAAACTTCCCCACACTCCTTCCTGGACTTGCCTGACTCACCATCAGACAGAACCAGTTTCTCGTTCCAGGATAGAAATCTCCAGCACTCTGGCCCACAAAGAGCATGTTTTCACTTCATCCCTGTGAAGAAGAGACACTTAGGGCCCAGGAAGGGCTCTGCTTGTCTTCCCACCTTAACACAAAACACACCCACATGCACACACACATATGAACACATGTGTGTGTGTGTGCACGCCAACCTGCCATTCTGTGCCTGTCCCCCATCCAGAAGGGCAGGGACCAGAAATGCAGGCTTTAGAGCTGCTACCCAGACCTGGTGCCCGCCCCAGCCACCCTGCTGAGCCAAACAGATCCCTTGGTGCCCAGAGCCTCAGTCGCTCCATCTGTACCACAAGGCTGCAGCTGCTCCATTGGGTTGTTTGAGGTTGACACAAAACTGACCCATATACTGGGTCTAGTCCTGGCACAGGTAACACCCCCAACTAGGTGTCCCTTGGGTTTCTCCTGAACCCCTAGCTCCCCAATAACACTTCATCCTGAAGCCCCAGTCTCATGTGGTCCACGGTGTTGTGGGGATATCAACTCTAAGACATTCACAACCACGTCAGAAAGTACAAACATCTTTTCTCTCAGCTTCTATGAATGACTGACCATGGAGGCCTGGCCCATCCATTCTGCTCCCCCCACCCAGGTCCTCCCAGAGCCACATGGGGGAAGGTGACAGAGAAGCAAAACCTTGGCTCCATGAAAGCAGCCAGCTGTGTGCAGAGGGACAGCTGCACAATTTGCAGAGTGCTTGTGCCTCATGCTCATGTAGCCCTTACCCCTGTGCTCCTCCACCTCCAGCAACGAGGGGCCAAGCACCCACCTACCCTGGGCTGCCTGAAATATACAAAAGTGACAGCACAAGTGTGGAGCATGGTCCATGCTTCCTTCTGGACAGGACAGCATGGTATGTCACCCGGAGGATGACTCTCAGTGAGCACGGGCTTTGCATTTTATATTTTCCCAGCACTGACTCTGGGCTTAGCCTCTGGTTTCTTTTGCCAACGAGGTATCAACAAAAATGACAAAGAGAGGGTGTTTGCCCACCGGAAATTGCCCTCTGGAGTCCCCTATCCACTGTGTAGGAAGTCCAGTCTATTCTGCTAGAGAGGTCATAAGGAAAGACATAAAGCCCCCCAGCTGAGAGGCCCCATTAAGCCCAGACATGTGACTTAGACTATCTTGTTCTGCCCAGATGACAGTGGCTGAATGAGTGGCCGGGTAAGGACAATGGACCTGATGATTCCAGCCTGAACTGCGGAGTTATTAATCAAGGCCAGTGGCTCCTTGGGCTAGGCCACTAGTTGTGGGGGTGGCTCCTCTGCAGCAAAGATTGCTGCTGAGGGCCAGTGTCATATCTTCTCCTTGCAGCATGCAGCCACGCCTTCCCCTGTCCTCCAGGTTCTTTCTGTGAAGCTGATTTGGGTTTAGCCAATGGCAGTCACCAGGGGAGCGAAGGGAGGAGAAGTGGCTCAGGGCTCTCTTTCTGCGGCAGGCAGGCATCTTCAGGGGCTGACTCTCCCTCACCGCTGGTCACAGCTCTGGTCATCATCGCCACCTGCAACTGCATGCCCAGCTCTCTCCTGGCTCTGGCAATGCTCTTCTCCCTCCCTTCAGGCCAGGGGTGGTAACAGCTCTCTATTACTGTAGCCCCAGGGAGCTTCGCTACCCAGGGGTGGTTTTCCTTAATCCTGTTCACGCCTTTGTTCCTTTTCAAAGCTCTCCTTGAATCACACAATTTGGATTGCCATCTGTTTCCTGCTGGTACCCTGATTCACATGGGCAATGCTAACGCTGCATATTTCCCATGAAGACAGAAAACAAACACAACAAAGCAGTCTCACTGCTGAGGAAAGTTGGATGAAAATCAGCAGTGGGCCCGATATGGAGTTCAGGACCACGGACAGCAACACAGGGGCTTTGGGCCTCCGCAGACAGCAACAGGTGGTGTTACCCCTCCACCTCCTCTCCTAGGTGTGTGTGTGTGTGTGCGCGCGCGCGCGCCCACACACACACACACACACACACACACACACACACACAGAGGAAAGGGAGAGAGAAAAAGAGAGGAGAGAATCAATAACTGATATACTTCCTATAAAAGTTATAATCTACCACGTTCCCCAGCTCCACTCTGCCCTGTTCCATAATGCCCTCTCCAGGCATCTGAGCCCTTTCTTCTCTGAATTTCTGCAAGGATTTGAATCTAGAAGCTTGGAGCATGGCCTTGCATAGTGGACAGAACCACGATCCACAGACTGGGGGAGTAGGAAAGAGACATTTGCTCCTCTTTGTCCTGAGGCCAACACTCAACTTTCTTTCAAGGACTAGTCCTGGGGCTAGGTGGAGCACTTGCCTAGCATGGTGTGGTGGAGCACTTGACTAACACGCATGAGGCCTGGGCTTTGATCCCTCCACTCCCTGATCTGACAACTGGTATATCACCCTCTCCCCATGACATAATTGTTTCAGAGTTGGATAAATTCCCTAGCCCAATTCAAGTAGACTCCATTCTGAAATTTGGGTTGCAGTCTTAGGAAGGGAGTTCTCTGATTTATTTTTCCCAATTGAGCTAATGCTGGGCTGAGACAAACTTGGACTTGATGAGATTCTCCCAGGTGAGCGAAATCTGCTGAAGGTGAGGCCCAGCCAGAAGGAAGAGATGAGGGGAGCACAGTCCTGGAGCTGCTGTTGGCCTCCAGATCCAGTCTCGCCTCAGC